GAGTGCTCTACCACTGAGCTACAGCCCCAGACCCATGCTTTTTTATTTCATGTCAAAACATTTTTTTTACTGGGAGCTTAATCTAAAGGTGCTCTACCACTGAGCTGTAACCCCAGCCCTTTTTTCATTTATTGAAAATTTGAGATGGAGTTTCACTAAATTGCCCAGGCTGGCCTTGAATTTCCAATTCTCTGTCTCAGTTTTCTGAGTATCTGGGATTTGCTTCATGTCAAATATAATGTCCAAACAATGTTGAAGTATTTCCTGAGCTATCTATTTGAGCATTTACAATCATTTAAATAACAATAGTTTGGGGGTTGGAAAAATATCTCAGCGGTAGAGCAATTGCCTGCAATGTTTGAGGTCCTGGATTCAATATCCCAGCACCACTATCAATCAATAAATCAATTAACCAACCAATCAATCAATATCCCTAGTTCTTGAACTGCTCATTTATGTTTGAGAGCACATTACACAGAGGGTGCCCATAGCCTGTGGTAAAACTTCTCCAGTAAATTCCAGGCTGCTGATACAGAAATGAAAACAATAGTCTAATTATTTTTTGTTATGTTTCCAAGTGCAAAAAGGCTGTAGAGTTTTCCCCAGATTTGATTTCTGAATGTGAATTATTTTAACTATGACTTTACAACAGTAAAATGAGCTCTCCTCAATGTTATTTGCTGTGTTTGGGGAAAAACATACAAGTCTCTCTCAAAATAGATAGAGAATACTAATCCCTGTCAATCAAAGCTGGCAAGGTCTCTGCTGGTATAACATTCACAAAAGCCTTGTGTATCTCCTGTATATGTAACAGGGATTAACTTTATTAGGTAAAAGACTCTTTCCATAGTTCTTTCCTAAATAGTTCCATCTATATTCCTGACTATCTTAATTCCTCTTATAATTTTTCTTATATTTTACTATAAGCAGCAAAAAGAAATCAGGCTGCACTGTCAATATTTTGTCTGAAAATCTCAGCTAACTGTCCAAGTTCATTGTTTATGAGTTCTTCTTTCCATGTAACTGCAGGTCACAAGTCAGTTAAGTTTCCTGCCAGGATATTCACTTTCCTCTAGTCTACAGTAACATTTTCCTCATTTTTGAGCTCTTACTAGCAGTAATTTTAACATCCATGCATATTCCTGAAATCTGCTTAAAATGAATTGTATATTATATAAGGCAATATGTGTTTCCCACCATATTCTCAATTCCATCTGAATCCTCATTAGTAGAGTTATTAACACAACATTTCTACTAATAGTCCACTCAAAGCAATCTAGGCTTTTTCTATCATTGCCCAATTCAAAAGTCATTTTCATATTTTTAGTTATTTATTATAGCAACACCCCATTCCAAGTTCTAAAATCTGTACCAATCAAGATTTGACCAGAGAAACAATTTGAGCAAACTATGTGTTTGGCTAGACAAGTCTAAAGTCCGTATGGCAGTTAGTTAGCAATTATAGGTTGGAACACTGAGGCAGAAGATGAATCTCCTTTGCTTAGGTGGAATTTCTTTATCTCATAGACAATTCAACTCTGTTTTTCATGCCTAACAATTGGTTGAATCAGATAAACCTAGATTATTTATGGTATTCTTTCTATTTTAAGTTTAGTTGATCATCTACCTTAATACTGTCTGCACATTAATTCTACTTGACAATGTAACATAAAATATTCACAGGTACCAGGAATTAGAAATATTCATAGGAAAAAGGAATTAGGATGTAGACAAGTTTGGGGGATACCATCATTTCTCCAAATGTTTTCTTGAAATAATTCAACTGCTTCATCAACATATCCTTTATTAAATTTTGTTTGGTTAACACATTTTCATTATACAATGTATTTTTTTCCTGAATTCCTCATCAACCAGAAAAATATAATCATCCAAAGGCAAGTAGATACTGAGATGTTGTACCATTAGAAACTCCTCAGTGCCCAGAATCTGGACTCGTTTGAGAATTTTCTTGCCTGTTCTAGTGAAAAAAATTTTTTTATCACAGTAACCAAAAGACCTGACAAGAAAAACTTAGAGAAGTTAATATGGGGCTCGTGGATTTAGAGATTTCAGTCTATAGCTAGCCAACTTCATAGTTCTGGGCCAAAGGTGAGTTAGAATATCATGGCAGAAGAGCATAGTGGAGGAAAGCAGATCAGGGCATGACAACAAGAAAGCAGAGAAAGCTCTGCTCACCAGGGACAAAATATAAACCCCAAAGGCAAGCCCCTAGTGACCTATCTCCTCCACTCCCAACCTACCTGCCTACAGCTATCAATCCAATCAATCCACATTAGTTGGATTAATTGACTGATTAGGTTATAACTCTCATAACCTAACCATTTCACCTCTGAACCTTCTTGCTTTGTCTCACATTTGAGCTTTTGGGGGACACACCAAATCTAAACTATTACATTTCATCCCTGATCCTTAAAAGCTCATGCCCATCTCTCAATGAAAAATATATTTAGTCCATTTTTAAGGTCCCCATAGTCTTAACAGTTCCAGCATTACCCAAAATTTCAAGTCCAAGTCTCCTCTGAGACTCAAGGAAAACTCTTAGCATGAACACCTGTAAAAATCAAAAGCAAGTTACATATATCCAATATATAATGCACAGAGTAAATATTTCTAGTCCACAAGGGCATAGAAAGAAAGGATGGGTCCAAGGCAAGACTGAAATCCAGCTGGGCAAATAAGTTCTGAAGTTCCATGTCCAGCATCTGTGGCATATGGCATTATGACATTTTCTCCAAGGGCCTTGTGCAGCTCTGCCCTTTTGGCCTTGTTGGTTACAGCCCACACAGGCTCTTTCTTGGCTTGTCTCTGCTCAATTCCTGCAGCTTTCTTTAGCAGATGTTCCATGTTACTAGTGTCTCTTAATCTCAGGGATCTCCACTGTAGTTTTGATTTCCTTATCACATCTTCATTCACTACTTTTTTTTAGAAGCAGCCACAGGGACTCTGACCCCGCTACACTTTGCCCAAACACCCAGTTATTCCTTTGAAATCTCAGTGGTATCCTCTATAAACCACTTACTCCATTATCCTGCAATCCTGCAGAACCAGCATTACATGGTTGATGCTGCCACCATCTTGAGCAGCAGCCAAATCTCCTAGGATCATGGATGCAGCACCCTCTGAATGCATGGGTGGCCAAGCATAGTGAAACAACTTCCTAGCCCCCGCAATGCAGACAGGGTTCCCAATGGTCTCTTCTCAAAGGAATTTTTACTTTTACACCCTGAGCTGGAGATGGGTGTGGTTTTGCCAATTCCAGAGATGCCCTAAATCTTCTTTCCTATGGTTTCTTTGTAAAGTACTTAACATCTCTTTAGTATTGCTAATGTATTTAACAACCACAAATTTCTTAGCCTCAGTTTTACTTACACTTTTATGGCCAAACTTTTTTTGACCAAACAAGTTTTTAAAATCTTTCTGCTCTGCTTTCTACTCCTGATTATCACAGTAAGTTTGTCTAAATGTCACCAACAATATCCATGCAACCTCCTAATGTTGTGCTGCCTTGAAATTTCCTTCACCAGATTAACTAGTATGTCACCTTTAAATTCAGCCTCACAGAAAGCCTCAAGACATGGACAAAATATAGACAATTTCTTTGTCAGAATGTAACATGAATGGCTTCTACTCCAATTGTTAGTTCAGTTCTCCTCCATTGAAACCTCATAAGTCTAGTATTTCCTGCCCAGAAGTCCTATCAGCATTCTGGTTTTCTGAGCTACCAGCAGAATAATCCATTAATCATCCATTCTAAAGCTTCTCCAGCTTGCATCTATAGCCTTTTCAAAATTCCTCCCACCACAAACCATATCCAAAGACTTCTGAACCACATGGTCAGGTTATTCTGAGCAACAACCCCACTTCTGTGTACCAATTTCTGTTTTAGTCAGCTTATTCATCACTGTGATCAAAAAACCTGACAAGAACAGTACAGAAGAAGGAAAGTTTATTTGGTACACAGTTTAAGAGACCTCAGTTCATAAATGGCTGACTTCTTATATACCCCAAAGGCATGCACCTACCTTCTCCAGCTATACCCTACCTGCATACAGTTACTACCCACCTAATCTAAATCAGTAATTTAATCCACTATTTAGGCTACAACTGTCATAAACTAATCATTCCACCTCTGAACCTTGTTCCAATTTCTCACACATGTGCTTTTAGGGGACTTCTCATATCTGAGCTCTAATACTGCCCTGGTAGGGAACAATTGCAAAAATATGCATCACTTGATCCTAGAGTCTGTTTGCTTTATAAGAACACCTTAAACATGGCCAATCTATATATAAATACACCTGTTAAGTAATTTATCAAGATCATAACTTCAGTTAGAGTTGAGCCTATGTCCTTTTTGCATTAATCTATATGAGAAAGAATGGGTGATACAGCTGTGTTTTACAAACTGACATGTATTTTACAGTGAAAGTCTAGTGATTGCAAGAGTAAAATTGAAATAAGTAATTTGAAATTATCCATATGGCTGCCTATTTGACAATACAAATAAAAACAGGGAGCTTGGGAAGAAAATGGATATTAATGAACATAAACCAATACCATTCCAAATAGAAATAGGGTAATTGAAAAGTTATAGCTGTGTAAATAATAAAAACTAAAAGACTTCCAGATTTTAAAATAAAGTATGATAAAAGAGGAATTATACATTTTCATGTAGTATCATATAGTGGGAAATGTACCTTTAAATTTTGAGTTAGAATTATTAGAACTGGTTCACATTCATATATGATCCTTTGGGAATAATAAAACTTTAATCAGAAATAGAAAGTTTCCTGATATAAACTATTTACTCACAATAGAAAAATCCGAAAATAATTATAAGCAAACAGGGCAACAAAATAAAAAATAACAATTCTAAAGACTACTAGAAAAAATAAAAAAGTAGAATTAAACATCACTATGAAGTTAAAAGGAAAATGAAAAGCAAAAGAGGCACAATTAATGTAACCAGCAGAGAAATTTCAAATACCTAAATTATTCTGGAGGGTTGGAATATCCTCTAATTTTCTTCCAGAGTCCTGTCTCAGAATATTGGGGAATATAGGCTTCAAGAATCTGAACTCGTTACTCTCAGAATCTCCTTTCAGGCACACCTCATACTGGTAGCTCTGAGACAGGGTCCCTGTGCCGCTGACATCCACCAGGTGGCCAGGAAAGTGGCCCTCAGGCACCGAATACACACCCAGCGGCGCCGACTCACTCCTTCTGCACAGCCTCACCACCACGAACACCACCACAGAGAAGAGGAAGAGCGATGACACCGACGCCAAGGCGATGACCAAGTAGACAGTGAGCGAGTCCCCTTGAGCGCGCTCGGGCGCCACTTCCGGGAGCGGCAGGTAGGGCTGGGAGAAGCCATCCACCAGCAGCACGTGCAGCGTGACGCTGGCAGACAGCGGAGGCTGGCCATTGTCCTTGACCAGCACCACCAGCCTGTGCCTGGCCGCGTCGCGCTCGCTCAGCAGCCTGGCAGTGTGCACCTCGCCATTGTGCGCCCACACGCCAAACATCCCTGGCTCCGTGGCCTTGAGCAGCTGGTATGACAGCCAGGCGTTCTGGCCTGAGTCTCTGTCCACTGCCACCACCTTGGTGACCAGGTAGCCCTGCTCTGCCGCCCTGGGCACCAGCTCCGTGCAGGGTGCAGAGGCATTCTGCATTGGGTACAGCACGAAGGGCGAGTTGTCATTGTCGTCCAACACCACCACTCGCACCAGCGCCTGGCTGCTGAGCGCGGGCGAACCTTGGTCTGTGGCGCCCACTCGGAACTCGAATGACTGCAGGGCCTCGAAGTCCAACGCCCTCAATGCGAACAGCTGCCCATTGTCCGCGTTGATGGAGACCAGTGAGGCGAGCGGCAGGTGCGGGTCCTGGTTTGGCAGCAGTGAGTAGGTGATCTGGGCGTTGGTGCCTGAGTCTCTGTCTGTGGCGCTGACACTGCCTATGTGTAGGGCTGGCTGGTTGTTCTCACGCACCAACAGCGTGTATGACGTTTGCGTGAAAGCAGGGGTATTGTCGTTAACGTCCGAGACGAGGATTATTATGCTGTGCTCGGTTTTCAGCCTTGGTGTCCCCAAGTCAGTGACAGTAATAGTGATATTATACTGGGCTCTTGTCTCTCTATCTAGAGCTCCTTCTGTTACCAGCCTGTAGAAGTTCTCGACTGAAGGTTTCAGCGTGAATGGAACATCATCTTGGATGGAGCAAACCGTCCTTCCATTTTCCCCAGAGTCTCGGTCCCGAGTCCTAAACAGAGCCACTTCTGTCTCAGGGGAATTTTCAGGAATAGGGCTGGTAAATGATGAGATAGTTAGTTCTGGGGAGTTGTCATTAACATCCAACACTTTGATAGAAACAGAGCATTTCCCAGAAAGTCCTCCCCCATCAGATGCCTCTATATCTAGTTCGTATGAAGATATGGTTTCAAAATCTAGCATTTTAATTAGTCGAATTTCTCCTGAAAGGCTATTTAGCTCAAAAGTTTTTCCTATCTCTTGGGAACTATAAAAAAGCGAGTATGTTATCTGTCCATTTGCTCCAGCATCTAAATCCCTAGCAGAGACCTTGACAACTAGGGAACCTATAGGGCTGTTCTCTGGGACCTGCACCTCATAGAGTATCTGCTCAAACTGAGGGGCATTGTCATTGACATCCAAGACCAGGACACGAATCTGAGTGGTGCCAGATCGTGGTGGAGAGCCGCCATCCAGCGCTGTCAGGGTTAATCTGAACTCAGACTGCTCCTCGTGATCTAGCTCTTTGTCCAGCACCAGCTCCGGGTATTTCCGGCCATCTCCCCGTTTGATTGTGGAAATATGGAAATGAGAGTTGGAACCAATATTGTAGTTTTGAACGTTGTTGTTGCCCACGTCCAAGTCCTGAGCTTTCTTCAGAGGAAAAACAGTACCAGGAGGGCTATTCTCTAGGATTTTTAGGATCATTTCTCTTTCAGAAAACTCAGGAGAATGATCATTTATGTCTCCCACCAGGAGCTCAGCTCGAAATACCTCCAGAGGTTTATTCAGTAACACTTGGAAATGCATTACACAGGGCTCTGTGGGGCCGCAAAGCTGCTCCCGGTCTAATTTTTCATTTAATATCAACTTCCCGGTCTGCAGATCCAGCTGCAAACGTGGTTCGTTATCCTCAGAGGCCACCCGGGCTCCCCGCGCAGCTAGCTCCCCCATTCCTAGTTCTAGATCCTTAGCCAGGTCAGCCACAAAAGAGCCGCTCTCAGTTTCCTCCATCACAAAATAGCGTCGGAGTCCCCAGCCTGCCTGAGCCACTCCGGATAAGAGAAAGAGAATCAGAACTTGCCTTTGTTTGCGCACCCTGCCGGACTCCATCTTTACTTCTGCACACACCTTTTCAAGAACAGGGGTCAGCAGTACCTTATGGAGCAATGGAACTGAGACACTGGTCGATCTTTTAGTTGATAACCTGTCTGGAAAGGTAGGTAAGCAGCATTCTCTGGAGACTTACTGGTCCGGCTCTGCTTACGGGCTTTTCTTTTTTAACTGGGGATCTGAAGTAGAGTTCCTAGCATTTATTGGCGTTTCTTTCTTTTAAAGCATTAGCCTGCAGCGCCACCATGCGTTATTTTTGCTTGGAAATGAATTGCTACAATGTCTTTATCCAACTTTTAGAAGTTTGGAAATTGAGGAGAATATGTAATAACTAAATCATGCAATTATAATTTTTTATTTCTTCATTCAAAGAAGTATTATTGATATCTGTGTCTCTGGTTCTGAAAATACATCAGTAAACAATCCAGACATGCCCCTGCCCTTCTAAACCAATATTCTGGATAGGAGTGCTCTGAGGAAAACTGAGAAGTGAAAGAAGGCATAATGATCATTCATCTTGTAAAATTAAGGACACATAGCCATGTGATTTTTAAAAAAGTATCAGCAACATGCTTTGCCCTCGATTTACTTTCAAATGCTTGATGTAGCTCAGCCAGTAAGAACCATAATACTGGCCAATAAATTTTTCAGTCATAGGAAAATGTATATGAAGGTACTTTTACATCTCTTGCCCTGTTTTTTCTTACTAACATTTATCATTTTTCATAGCATGGATGTACATATTTATTTCTTTCCTATGTCATTCATGAATACTAGAACTTTGTTTTGTTCATTCTGCACCCCCCCAAATAATCCCTGGCTCATGGTAGATGCTCCATAAATATTTGTCAAATGGACCAGTGGATAAATCACAATTAATTTTAAAATTCTGATAAATGGATTCTTCCCCTACTATAGACATCTCTTCTTTTTCTGGGATCCCAGTTGTTAGATAAGCTCTATTAAATAAGACAGAGTATTCCCAAGTATCTATTTTTGATACATCAAGCATTTAAAATAACTTGAAATAATTCACAGTGATATTAAATGTCTTTTCATTGAATGATAAAATACCTTGGCTCTTTCTAACCCAAGAGATACACTGCAAAAAGAAATAATATGACAATAAGGTTATGAATATCTTACAAATAAGGTATACATCTCTTTTAGATACACATTTTACATTGTCAACAGCATTTCACACAAACACTATTATGATACTAATGATATTCAAAAGCTCTATCTTATATATCAGAATTTTCTAAGAATTTCTATTAAACAATTGGGAAGTACATTGGAAATATCCTTCAGTTCTTCTCAAATTATATATTTTAGCAAAACTTGTACATGACTCTTCCACACTACTAATAGTGTACAACCCTTTTGATGGAAAATGATATTGTTAATAGAAAAAGCCATAATAAAGGGCTGGGGCTGTGGCTCAGAGGTAGAGCACTTGCCCACAATATGTGAGGCACTGGGCTGGATCCTCAGCACCACATAAAACTAAAATAAAGTTATTGTGTCCATCTATAACTAAAAGATAAATACTTTTTAAAAGTCATAATAAAATCTCAAATTAATAGTAAGCTCTAATTCACCAGTATATGCAAGAATATCTAAACATGCTTTTAAACAAGAAAAAAGCCTCACTTAGCTATCTTAAAAGAAAGTTATTTTATTTTATTTTGTGATGCAGGGGATTGAACCCAGGACCTCATACATGCAAGGCAAATACTCTACCAACTGAGCTATATTCCCAGCCCAGAAAATTTATTTTTAATAATCCCAGGAGACAAAACTTATTGGAAGGAAATGAAACATCAACAGGAAAATCTACACCAAAGTTATTTTTTGGATATCTCCTTCCTTCTTGTCTCTCAGAGGATTGACTTTCTGTATTTCTTTCACATATTTAGCCAAACAAAATATCACTTGCAATGCTTGAGAAAATCTGATAATTATATTCTGAAAGTTGATATAAAGAGAAGGAAAGACTTTAAGTTGATGTAATCCTACTATAAAATAAAATCATGCATTTTTACAGATATTTCTCCATTTAAATATGCTACACAGGAAAGCATATTATCATATAAACAGGAAATACTAACCATTCATTATATTATGCTTGTCTTCAAATCATCAAATTTAGAAAAAATTACTAGACAACATGAAATAGAATGGGGCTGGCATCATATTCAAATCAGTACTATTTGATGTTGAAATGCTGATAAATAAGCTGAGCACAGTGGCTCATGCCCAGCAGCTCCAGAGGCTGAGGCAGGAAGATCACATGTTCCAGGCCAGCTTCAGCAATTTAGCAAGGCCATAAGCAAATTAGAAAAATCTGGTCACAAAATAAAAAATAAAAAGGTGCTGGGGATGTCCCTCAATGTTAAAGCACCCATGGGTTCAATAACTAATACTTTAAAAAAAATTGATAGAAGAGATATCTGCAACTTTTCAGTAATGAGTAAAGTTGAAATTTTGTTGTCACCATCAAGTAAAAATGATAAAAGAGAAGGAAATAATGAGACTACATTAGAGAAAAATTTCTTATTAACTAGAAAAATCAATGAAAAACATTAGAAAATTTTATATGAACCCAAAATATAATGGAGATCTATTATACTTAGAAAGAAATTAACCTGTATCCCGAATGATCTGAAAACCAACAGTCACTAATTATCCAAAACAATTTGCAAAGCTAGAATTTTACTCCGTGTCATTCACAGTCCCTTGATGATTGTGATTAATAGACTGCAGAAACTTGAAGTCGCTAGTCCCTGAGCCTTCCTTTAGACAAACCTCATACTGGTAGCTCTGAGACAGGGTTCCAGTGCTGCTGACATCCATCAGGTGTCCAGGAAAGTGGCCCTCAGTCACCGAATACACACCCAGCGGCGCCGCCTTGCTCCTCCTGCACAGCCTCACCACCACGAACACCAGCACAGAGAAGAGGAAGAGAGACGACACCGACGCCAAGGCGATGACCAAGTAGACAGTGAGCGAGTCCCCTTGAGCGCGCTCGGGTGCCACTTCCGGGAGCGGCAGGTAGGGCTGGGAGAAGCCATCCACCAGCAGCACGTGCAGCGT